TTTCTATATTTCAGTAAATGTTACATCTCACCAAAGAAAAGGAAAACAAAATGTGATCTCTCTGCCTTCTCCCATTATTTTTGTCTTTACTTCAAGCTGTGTTTCTCCGCCCCCAGCACCGCCCACCCGCTGCTGCTCCCTTCCCCACAGGCCCCGGGGCGGACGCGGCTTCACATCTTGACCATCACTTTGCCCTGGGCCAAGTCCCCGACTCTGCTCCTCAGCTGCTTCACTGGTAAATAAGGATCGTGCCAGCCCCAACTCGTGGGGGGTCACAGGTGTGACCCGTACAGCACTCAGCACCGCAAGAGCGGGCAGCACCGATGTTTGCTGGCACAGCGATTGTCACAGCTGGGTGTCGGCTCGGTGGGTTACTGCCTAACCCAGTGTGACTGGTATCCTTATAAGAAGAGGAAACGTGGATACGGAGGGAAGGCCACGTGCGGCCTCACAAGAAACCAGCCCCAGCTGTCCCTCTCCCCACCCCTCAGACACACGGCCTGGGCGGACGAGCACTCTGGAGCAGGGCAGCGGCTGGGGAGATGACCCAGGGACTCCCGGGCAGACGGCGGGTCTCACCTCCAGGCAGATGACGGAGCCCTGGTGCTCCCGGAACACTCGCAGCTGCTCCCCACTCAGGATGTCCCAGGCGCGGATGGTGGTGTCCGTGCTGCCCGTGAAGGCCGTGTGGCTGGGCGTGTCGAGCACGAGGCACAGCACGGCGCCCGTGTGGCCCCGCAGGGTCTGATGGCAGCAGCCGCTGGCCACCTGCCACACCTTCGCCGTGCCATCGGTGCTGCCCGTGACCAGCAGCCCCCCGGCCACAGCCTCCTCCTCGAAGGGGGCCCCGGGGAGGTCCCAGGGGGCAGAGTAGGCGAGAGTCAGCACACAGTTGCGGTGGCCCCGGAACTCCTGGGACACCTGCCCCGCGTCCACACTCCAGGCACGAGCCGTCCGGTCGTAGGAGCTGCTGAACAGCTGGTTGTTGGCGACCAGGATCCTGCTGGTGAGAAGGGGAAGGTCAGGAGTCAGGGCGTGCAGGGCTGCCCGGCAGGCTGTCACGGGACCCCCTGGCTGGGGTCCTACGTGTTCAGCGAGCCCAGCTGGTAGGAAGCATGACATGCTCCGGGAGGAAGTCATGGGCTGGAGTGTCCCAGGCCCCCTGCTTCAGGGGGGCAGGTGGGGGCCAGGAGAGCCCCCCTCGAAAATGTCAGGGGCACCAGGCAAAGGCCTGGCCTCCGGCTTCCACCACCCACAGACTCAGGGCTTCCTTGGTCACTGCCATGCACACCTCTTCCGCGTGGACATCTGCCCAAGCCAGAGGTCAGCTGCCTCTGCACTGCAGCCGGAAGACACTGTCCCTCTCCACCCGGCGGCCACACTCACCTCCTGAGTCTAGCTCGAGGCACCCTTCTCTAGGACGCCACCCAGGATCCCCCCTCGGTCCCTCCCTCCTCCCGACGTGGGGCCCATAGCAGCCGCCCCACAGTCAGGGAAGCTAGAGGAACAGGTGGGAAGGCCCGCCCTCCCGGTTTGCCCGGAACTGAAAGGCTCCTGGGGATGCAGGGCTTGCAGTTTGAAAACCTGGAAGGTTCTGGGTGAAGTGGGACATGCTGGTCACCCCAGCAACAGGTCAGACCCCAGGGGAAGGACGGGCATTTACGATGGAGGCGGCGTGGGAAAGCCGGTGAGCCCCAGGAGTTCTGGAGGGGACTCTGCTCCCAGCCCACAGGCCAGCCCTTGCTGTCATGCTCACAGTACTGGTCCTAGATCAGCCCACGGGTGACATCCATGAGGTCAGGGGAGGCACAGTCAGAGACAAGCAGGGGTGGGATGGGGGTGGGCGTCTGCTGTCCGCTCCCACAGCAGAACCTCATCCAGGCTCCGTCTGTTGGTGACACTCCAGGTCCAGGTCACAGCCCTGGGCCAAGGGCCCCAAGGAATTTGGGTAGGAGGAGCAGAGAGGGTATGTCCACCCCCCTCCACCCTCTGCCACAGGGGAAAAGAGGCCTCCCAAGCAGTAAAACTTCATGATTCTTATTCTCCTGTTGGTGAAAGCTAAGAACTTCTCCCCAGAAAAACAAACATTTGCCTTTGGTATAGAACTTTGGGTATAGCTTCAAAGGGTCTGTTTACACACCCTCATCAAGGAGCCCTGAGCCCCCAGGACAGGCGACCACACAGGGCAGAGCTGAGGCCACTGCCGGAATGGGGGCGTGTCATCGGTGTGGGGACAGAGGGGTGAGGTCGGAGGCACCCCGTGCTCCCTCCTGCCCGGAGCCTGGCATGGGTGGGAGGAGAGAAGGACCACTGGAGAGAACAGACCTTGGCCCGCGCCCCTCACCTCCGCCTCGCTCTCTCTCCCTGCGAGTCGCTCAGGGGGCAGACCGCACTGAAACGCGCACTTTCTGCCCGCTCCTTCTAGAATACCCAGTAGGCACGGTTTCTCGACACATGCATTTCTAAAGGGAAGTGAGGACCTGCCGCCATGTGGCACCCACAGGTGATGCCGAGGGCCTTAGGGCTGCCAGCTGTGGCCTGGCACTTGAGGGCGGGGACGCCGGGCCCTGTCAGCACCCCTGGACGCTCACACACCTGGCCTGGCTCTGAAAACACATCCTCGCCTCAGGAGTATGGCTCGTTTGTGAGCACAGGCACTGAAAGCAAATGTCTACCGCTCAAAAGTAGTGAGTGTGTGTGTGTGTGTGTGAAAGTCTAAACCCAGCAGAGCACAGTTTCCAGCCCTCGTTGTCCAGATTCCCTCTGAGGAGCAGCTGAGAAGTTTCCTGTTACAACCTGAGGGCGAGCGGGTCACCTGAGACGGGGCTTTCTCCCACCTGCCCCCCCCCGCCCTTCCAGCTGCTCATGGCCCCACAGAAGAGACTCTGTCACCACACTTTCCTCTATCACTACATCCTTTCTCAAGAAACAGTACTGGGAAGAAGCCAGTGGGGGCCGGAAGCCCGGAGTGCTCATTCCAGCCCCTTCTCCAGCACCTGTCTGCTCCGCCCTGGCCTCCGGGTCTCACCTGCTCTTTCTTAGGGCGGGGGCGAAGCTGGGTTGCTGGAAGGTGGGGGCTGCACCAGCGCCCACGGGGATCCCTCCAGACTGCCTTCCCTACTCAGAACCACCCTGAGCCAACACAGCTTCCATTTCTCTGCGCGGGGTGTTACTGGGACCGCACCCCCCCCACCCCCCCAGCATGCACCGCTCGGTGACTGCAGCCAGCAGGTGCTCGGTCAGTTGCTGACCGGGCTGGCCCAGCGCTTCCACCCACCGTGCGTGGTCCTTAACAGTCGGGTCACACCCCGACCCAGGCATGCGCAAAGCCGCCAGCGTCCCTTTGGGCTGCAAACATCCTTCCCTACCAGCCCCAGCCCAGCCCAGTCTGCTGACCCATCAAACGACCACCTGCACTGGGCCTGTCCTCACTCAGCTCCCAGGGAGGTGTCCCTCCTAGTCAGGGAGGCCGGGAGGGCCCGAGGGCGGGTGTCTAGACTCCTGCGTGTACCAGGCAGTCCCTCGGGCGTCTGAGATGCCACCACAAGTTACATAAATAGTGTTGATTTGATCTGATCGGCAAAGGAATTTCCACAGCCCAGCACAGACCCAAATTCAACAAAGAAAAATTCAAACCTTGAGAAGGAGGGGGGCAGGGTGTTTTCAACAGCAACAGGGAAGAAGAGAAGTTTAAAAATGCCCTGGACTCCGTCCTCAGAACCGTCCCATTTTGCTCTTCCTTCAAGCCCCTGGTGCACGATCAGGTACCGATTAAGCCATTTCTTCTGGAATTTGTTCCCATCTTAGGAATTGTGGCCTCTAATGCCTACCCCTGTGCCTAGCAGGGGGCAGGTGTGCTTCCAAGTCAATGAGTTGATGGTGCCCCCTTCCCCACCTGCAGCCCTGGGCCGTTAGCACTTGTCACACCTGGGGGCACTTCCATCCTGGGCCTTCACTGCTATATGCTTCTGATGACCGCCTCCCGCATCCACATATGGACTTCCCCAGAGAAGCTACGTTTCTCCAAGGCAGAGGCCCCACGACCTACATCTGTGTCCCCCTGGGGCGCGGCCAGGTTGTATGACAAGAAGCTAAGTCTTCGCTGCCTGGCGGCCTCGGGGCCCCAGCCCACGCTGACCTGTTCACAATGGACGTGTGTCCTCGGAACACCTGCAGGCACTGCCCGGTCAGCACGTCCCACTTCCTGATGGTGCGGTCAGCGCTGCACGTGAAGGCGGCCTCGTTCTCCAGCTGGCAGAAGGTCACGTAGCTTTCGTGCCCTGCAGACGACGGGAGACGTGAGACTGCCAGGGCGGCCGGCTCCGAGATTTTCTTTCCGGGAAGAATGTTTGAGACAGGGAGGAAGGGAAGAAAGCAGGGGGCAGGGAGGGTTTGAGACAAGCCGGAAGGGAAGAAAGCAGGGGGCAGGGAGGGTTTGAAACAAGCCCAGAACAGAACGAGCGAGTCCTTTGAAGTGACGGCTTCGGTATTAGGGGAGCGTCTCGGGAACTGCGGAATGCCAGGAGCGACTCAGGGGGTGCCGCCCCGCCCCCTCTGAATGGCTCCTTTTGCTCCCTCATCTTCCCCTCTCCTTCCCTCCCCTTCCTCATCATCGCCTTAGAGTCTTCTTCCAACGTTCCAGCTGTTCGTATTCACTCAGCCTTTCAACAAACCCAGTGTGACGGAGGCAGGAGGTACAGAGGCCAAGGGCATGGTCTGCGGAGCCAAATGCCCGGGCCGGCATCCTGGCGCTGCTACCGACTCACCTGCCCATGCCTCGGTTTCCGTGGGACATGGGACAGTGGCGATGCCTATCTGTTGCACGGACTGAGGAAACGCCAGGTGTTGGCTGGTCTTACGTTTGGGAAGAAACACAATGACAGGCAGAATTATGGGCCCAGCGAGGTCAGGTCCTAGTTTCTGGAACCTAGAAACGTTACCTTACTTGAAAATTGACACATCTGCGGGGGTAGTTGAGTTAGGGATCTAGAGATGGGGACGTTAGCCTTGAGTACCAGAGCCGGCCCTGAAGGCAGCCACAGGTGTCCCCATAAGGAGGCAGAGGGAGAGCTAAGGACTCAGAGAGAAGGTGCTGTGCAGACAGAGCAGAGGCTGACTTGAAGGTGCTGGTCCTGAAGACGCCCTAGGGTGATGTGGCCACAAGCCAGGGAGTGCCGGCAGCGGCTGGAAGAGGCGGCCGGACTCTCCCCTCTGGCTTTCAGAGGGAGCACAGCCCTGCTGACACCTTGATTTCATGCCGGGGCCACTGGTTTTGGACCTTTGGCCTCCAGCACTGCGCAAGAGTAAACTGTTTTAAAGGCACCCAGCGCGATCGCTGGTCAGAGCAGTCGCAGGAAACGAACACAGATGTCGAGATGATTAAGACACATTTCCTGCCTTCGAAGTGAGCGGCTCACCCAGAAGGACAGACAGTCAGAGAGTGTGACGCGTGCAGGACGGAGCATGCCGGCGGGGTCGGGGGGCGACAGAGCAGAAGCCTGAGTGCCGCGGTGGAGGCGGGGTCCACCTGGCACCGATGCGGACAGAAGAGTGTTCGGGAGAGCAGACAGCACCCAGGAAGTGGGAGGGGCCCCTGCGCTGGAATGTGGGTGTCGGGCAGAGATGGTGGATGAGGATGCAGGCCTAGGGCCACACAGAGCCTGGGGTCTCGGTCTAGTGCACCTGGTCATTCATCTTATCGATGCGGTTGTCAGATCTTTCAAACATTGTCCTTGTCATGGGACCAGTGTTTACGTCTCGGGCATTATTAAGCAGCCCCGGGAGACCTCAGGTCCCCATCACGGTAGGGCCTGTCCTTCGGGCAAAGATGTCTCCACCTCAGATGACAACTTTCAACAGCAAACTGAAGCTGAGTCTATCTGAGGGAAATTCGGGAAACAGAAAATCAACAGGATCAAAGGAAGGTTAGACCAATGAGCCACTTCACAGATGAGAATACGGATAAATTAAAATATCCACAGATTTGGGAGACGTATTTATTACGTCAAGGATTTCGATAGAATTTTAAAATTTCACTTAAATATCTAGGATCGGGGAGATGGGGATTCAGAATCTCCTGGGAGGTTTCGAGCTAATTCGCACTTCATTTTTGACCCTGGGCTTAAGCTTAGTTACCCTTGGAAGACCTCAAACTCAACTTCCTGGTTTCTAAGAAACAATTTTTTTTTAATTAAGAAAAAAAGGTTTTTCAGTCTTCTTGAATAGCACATGCCAAGCCTCTAAGAAAACAACGTTTGTGCGAATTAAATAAACACTTGACGGAACTGCAGATCATGTTTCACTCAAAATATACGTCAGTTTAAAAGTTGAGGGCAAAATGTGTTTGGCAAAATACAGCTCAGCTTTTAGCTAACCCCAAAGAGTTTATAAAATATGTTAAGATTGTCAACAAACTTTCCCTGAGACAAGCTCTGTTAGCACTGTGAGAAGGAGCCACCCTGGGAGGCAGCCAGGATGTCCCGAGGGCAGATAGGTGTCCTCTGAGCTGGCCCCCCCCCGAGGCTCACCTCTGCAGTCCTCAATGGACCCTGTGCAATGGGGCGCTAACCTAGCCCCGCCCCACAGACAGGCTACCTCGGGAATGTCTCCCCCATCCAGGCTGCGTCTTCCCATCTCAAAAGCATCTTGACAGCAGGAAGGCAAAGTGCCAAGTGTAAGTGTAAATTAGGCCAAGGAAAACACTGAGGAACGCTAGTATACAGTACACCTCTACTCAGTGAGGCTGTAGCCATGAAACCGGGGATGCTGAAAGACCTTGAGGTGCGGGGCCACTTTTGTGACATACGGAAGTAGAAAAAGAAAAAAAGGTGTGCATGTTGATTGTGAACCGGTAAAAATATAAACACATAAACAAAGACAGACGTAAGAGGTGGTAACAAAAAGAAATTTGTCGACGTAAAAAACCTCATCTCTGAAGCTGGGCCAGGCTGACCCTCTGCCCTCCTGGGGGCCTGGCCCTGAGCAGGCTGAGGCCCCCTGCAGGGGTCAAGGCTCCCTGTGGACAAGCCCTTCCTCTGTGCACCAAGCACCCAGCCGGCATCTGAAAACACAAGCTGAGTGAGTCCTGGCTCAGAGCCCGGCAAGCAGAGGGGCCCTGGGGGCTGCAGAGTGTTTCCCTGACCCATGACCATGACCATAACCCACAGTCCAGAGACAGGGCTCCACTGCCACAACGCCTGCGGGGTCGCCCGGGGAGCAAGGCCCATGCAGACCCCGGGGATGGATGATGGAGGGCATGGGGGAGGGAGGACAAGGGGGAGGGAAGGCCCATGGCGTCTCCAGGGAGGACAGTGCCTTGGCCTTGAGCTGTTGGAATTGTGCAGAATAAGCAAAAAAGCCCAACTAAAAATATTTTCGAAGGGATGAAGAGCGCAGATAAGACGCAGTCATGTTCAAAGAGCATGCGGAGACTCAGGGGTTCCTGCCAAGGCCCTCCCCGCCTCCCTGCCTGCACGCCCTCAACTTGCTGCGAGTTCAGAGTCTAAGTGTCCCTCCACATGTAGGAGTGTCTCAGCTGGGGACCCAGGGTCGCTGGTAG